AACACCAGCTTTTCCTTGTTATTGAAGACCTTTCAGCCTTTATAGTAAATAGTGTTAGACAGAAACTCAATTTTACAATAACAAGATACAGAATCACTATAGATTTGACTTATCTGTCCTGGTACCTAGAACGTCATCATTGGCTAATCTTTTCTTGTATTCACCCTTGTTTAAATAGCTTCATAAGCAGCTACCAAGAAAAATTTGTGGCTCTGATTTAAATTTTTATCAAGGCTTCATCAAAGAATTAGGATTATAATAATTTTTTCACAATCATCTAATATTCCATTTTATACGTTCATTATTAATTCATTTAATCATGGTTAGCATTTGTTTCCCATTTTTCCTTTTATGAGTAAAGATCATTGTGCATACATCTTTGAGTATGTTGCTAAATGAATCATTAGGATGGATTCTTAGAGGTAGAATTACTGGATCAAAGAAAATTGCTTTCTAAAAATGTAACATTGATTTATATTTCCCCATATGTATTTGAGAATACCTATCTTAACCACCTATGCTTCAGCCTTAAGAATTTTCATAATTTTTATGTTTCAAACTCAATTGGGAAAGTAGTTTCTCATTAGAGATTTAACGTAATAATGAACATGTTATGTATTGTAATAGACATCATTGTGGGGTGTCTGGCCAACCACTGTTTCCTCTAAGAATTGATTCCCTACCCACCAGCCTGGCCCTCTTCTAGGTGTACAACCTCATTTCCCTGGATATAGATCCATGGACCAGGGTGGATCACCTGAATTACGCTGGGCCATCAGATTCTGGAAACGTAGAAACTCAGAGAGACTAACCTGAGCTGGTCCTTAATTGGAAAAGATGCAAACCTAAGAGCTCTGTGTTGATTATGCATGCACAAAAAGCTACTTCATAAAGAGTGAAAGGCACAGAGCTGCCTGCAGAGAAAGAAAAATGAAAGTGGACACTGAGAATCAAAGCTAAGATACAGAAACCTCCAGAAAGGGAGTGTCCTGATTCACTCTAGCTTTCACTCTAGCTACTGATTCTGGGACCTGGAGAGATCCCACTATCCTATCATCTGTTGAATTGTGTATGATACCCCTATACCTTTATAATTACTCTCTTTTTCTTCAGTAGCTCAACTAGCTTGGCTGCTGTCTGACAAAGGAATCTTGCTAAATTGAAATTGGTAACACCAGGGCTATTGTAATTAATAGGTCCTCAGAGAAAAACATTCACTGGTGAAGTCAAAGTCTGGTGGGGTTCAGTGAGAATCCCCACACATACATCCGTTTTAGGATAATAAACTTTGTCTTTGTGCTGTATGGTAATGAAGTAATTAAGTTATAACTTGTTTTGTTTATTATTAAGAGGAATAGTTCTCAACCTTCCCAATGCCTCCTAATGCTGCAACCCTTTAATACAGTTCCTCATGTTGTGGTGACCCCCCAACCATAACATTATTTTCCTTGCTACTTCATAACTGTAATTTTGCTACTGTTACGAATCATAACATAAATATCTGATACGCAGGATGTATTTTCACTGTTACAAAGGGGTCACGACCCACAGGTTGATAACCACTGATTAAGGGCATGTATCCACAGAGGATTTAGAGTATTTGGTTGCCATTTACACAGTTATCAGAGGAGTCTGAGGCAGCAGATGAGAGATAGCCTCCTAGTTCATGTCTCCATACATAGAAGCACAGTAAGACAAGGCTGGTAAATTGAGACTGTCCTGTTTCTAATAGCCCCTTACTTTGCTGAGCCCCTGGAGCTAGGTAGAGACACTGATGAAGAAAGGGTGAGATCTTCACCATGGAAATGGAGAGAATAGGGAGCAGCCGAAGTTGGGGAAAGTCCCTGGTGCCACCCCACCTCACTCTCTTACCCTCACCCTCCAGGCCCTGTGCAAAGGGTTTCCAGCTGAGCCCCTCACCAAGACAAAGATGATCACATCTCCCATTATAGGGCATGTTACTGTGCGATTGAAACATGGCATGGGTTTGGGGGAAATTTCTGAAGACATATGGGAGAAAAAGACCTGGAAGAAAAAGTATTGGCAACTGGGTATATTTCCCCCATCCAAGAAAGAAATCTTGCTTCCGTAGCAGTGGTTCAGGTTCTGAGTCCTGAGGACTATGCCAGAAGTGGAGGAGGGAATGATGGGACCATGTGGGCTTTCCTCTGGCACGTGGGAGGCTTTGAGTTCCCATCTCTTTTTCTCCAACCTAACGACCATCCAGGAGACTCCACTGCCAGAACCTGACTGTGAGAGCTTCTGCTCTGAAAAACAGAGCACTGGCACAGCTGGTCTTCCCTTCCATTAATTAACCTGGCTTTGGCCCACTACCTCTCACTTTTGAGGGTAATTCTGGGATGTGGCTGAAAGACTGACTTTTTGGAGGTCTTGTCTTTTGCCCATGGAGGGATTAAGGATTTTACTGCCAGTCTATTCCACTTTGCAATACATCTTCCAGAAATGTCACACTGCTTCTTTCTTCTAGATTTCTAAGACTTCTGGGTATTATTTTTATATGTATAGTTCTTCTGATATTTCAGTGGGAATTACGGAGAGAGGAAACTAAATGTGTGTGTTCATTCAATAATCCTAAATTAGAATTTGTCTTATTTTTTAATTTAGGTCAATTTGAGGGTACAAAGAATTAGGTTACAATGTTTGCATTTGTTGGGTCCCTGCTGTATCTGTGTCCCGCCCCCAGGAGGTGTGCCATATACCCTTACATTGTGCCCATTACGTGGGAGCACACCCATCCCCTTCCCTCTGCCTCTCTGCTCCTCTCTTCTTCCTCCTCCTCCCTTCTTGAATTGAACTGAATTTTTGTCTTGTGTGGGCATGTATTAGATCATCTACTGGCTTCATATTAGTTTTGAGTCCCTGAGATACTTGCTTTTCCATTCTTGTGATACTGAGAAGAACATGTTTTCTTATCTAATCCTGCCTCTTGCCATGCTCTCCAGTCCTCCCTGCTGCCACACGTTTCCTCTGCTTTCTGCCATCCCTTTGTTCCCGTCTTCCTCAGCGAGTCAGAGAAGTCCACTCCCTGCTTTTAAAACCCGTGTGGCTCCTCATCACCTAAAACATGAAATTCAACCTCTAGCAAGGTCCTTTCTAAGTGGTAGCAACCTGTTCTCCAATTTCCTATTTATTTACCTGTTTCTCCAAACTGATTTTCAATTCCTTAAAAACCAGGAATAGTTCCTTACTTTTCTACTCCCTGCCATGGGCAGAAACACTGACTTCTTCCCCTCTCCTTCTACCACTCAATACTCAAACATGTGCTTGAAGAAATCACTAAATGCTTGGATTTACTTGCATTTCCTTTTTTTTTTTTTTGCTTCAGAAATTAAAACTAAATAGTCATTAACCATTAGGCTATACTTTAACAACTCTAAATATTGACATAAGTGTGCAATTTTAAGAGTATGCCATAACAGCTAAACATCGTTCCCTATCCTATTACATAAAGTTTTACTACATATGCTATCACCAAAAATATTTTAAAATATTTGAAGATGTTTCTAACTATGTCAACTTTGTATACCAC